GAAAAATTTACTAACAGGCATCCGACAGGGAGGACAGAAAGATTCAATCCATTGTACCAACTCCAGGGCAGAGGCGTTACCTGTGATAGTTACCTGATAGTTACCTGTGGTGGAGAAAGTATTCGTGTAACTAAGATTTACCAAGTGCCTACTTTTTGCCAAGAACAGTGCTGATGCTTATGATGGAATCCCATCTCTCTGGATATGTGTCCTGCTCATGCATAAGATGTAGGACAGCATCTGAAAGCTTACAGAGTAATTGATTCACTAACATAAAATCCTGCATAGCATCCACATGGACCAGGGTCCCACTTTACAGCATCAGGGGTGGGTTACACACACTTTGTGTAACACACTTCTACCCCCCAGACCTGCTCAAACCTGATCTTACTCTCACTTTGTGGTGATTTTTCCTGGTCTTACTCAGCCTTATGACTAGTGGGTCTGGTAGGAAGTTCATGGCTCACGACAGGAAGTTCTAGCCACAAGCCAGTGGTATAGAGAGGCACTACGCAATTTAACAAACAAAAAATTATTTATTAACATCACTGCTGTCTATTGATGAGAAAGAAACTACTGACTGGGGAAATGTAAAGTGTTGGGGGGGTGGGATTGTTCATGTTATTAGTCACTAGTCATTAATCACTAATCACTAGCCATTTAATTAGTCACTAATTGAAAAGGGCAAGGCTTTTGCAATGATTTTCTTTTTTAACAAAAGTGTTTTTCATTGGAGAATAATTGCTTTATGATATGGTGTTGGTTTCTGCCATACATCAATAAAAGTTTTGCTGTCTTAAGAAGGTTCTGCTTTTTATGGGTACCCAGAGGGAAAGTGGGGTGGGATGAAACTGGGAGATTGGGATTGAGATACATACACTATTGATACTATATGTAAAATAGACAGCTAATGAGAACCTGTGTGTAGCACAGGGAACTCTACCCAATGCTCTATGGGGATCTAAATGGGAAGGCAATCAAATAAGAGGTGATCATCAAAAGCAGATTTCCTTTACACTGGGTAAAATTCCACTCCTTGCTTAGGACTTCAGACCATAGTCTTGAACTCACATCTTCAAATCACCTCTTGTCTCCTCTTTGTTGACTAAGCTCCAGTCATATTGGTCTCCTTCTACCTTGCTTCTGCACCAGCAGTGCCCCCTCTAATAACTGGCTGTTTCTTATCCTTTGGGTCTCAGCTTTAGTCATCTTCTTACAGAGGTTTTCCCTAACACCATTTTAAAAGCAGTAAGATCTTTCTAAAAACTTTTTGTTGGATTATAGTTGTTTTACAATGTTGTGTTAGCTTCTACTGTACAGCAAAGTGAACCAGCCACACACACACATCAGATTCAGGTTGTTGGTTGCTCAATTATGTCTGACTCTTTGCAACCCCATGGACTGTGGCCCACCAGGCTCCTCAGTCCACAGAACTCTCCAAGGCAAGAACACTGGAGTGGGTTGCCGTTCCCTTCTCCAGGGGATCGTCCTGACCAGTGATCGAACCCGAGTCTCCTACATTGGCAGGTGGATTCTTCATCACTGTGCCACCTGGGAAGCCCACATTGGCATACAGCCAATTAACAACGTTGTGATAGTTTCAGGTGAATAGCAAAGGGACTCAGCCACACACATACATGTGTCCATGCTCCCCCAAACCCCCTCCCATCCATGCTGCCACTGAACATTAAGCAGAGTTCCTTGTGCTATACAGTAGGTCCTTCAACATCTGATTTTAAGAAAACCACTCTGGCTTCCATATAGAAAAAGGGCTGGAGAAGAATAAAGTGGGAACAGGAGGCCTATCAGAAGGCTACTACAATAGCCCGTGTGATATGAAGTTTATCCTTGTTACTGACTTTCAATCCTCTCCCCTATGAGAGCACACCAAACACCCATAACACCCACAATGGCCCACCTGTTTCTAAATCCAGCACAAGGGCATTCAAAAGAAAAACCCCATGATGCAAGTGAAATATTTCCTTCAACATCAAAACTTCTGCTCTTTCCAAAGCCTAGAACAGTGACTAATAAAATGAATAACTGCAACACCCCCCCACAAACACTCTAAATTAAGAACTTAACACTCCATTTATAGTACCCTTTACCTGGAAGAATTAACACCAGATGCAGAAGAATGGCAGTGATTAGTAATTTTCTCCCATGAGAGCCGTTTTTAGAAAGGATACAGATTGTGCTCTCACTGCGCCCCCTCCATTCCACCCCCTCCCAGCTGTTTCCTCAAACTGGGTTCCCACTCACCTGACTGACAGTAGAACTCATAGGGATGGAGCATCTCGGTACAGAGAGTGATGAGACCCCCAGACCTCCAATCTGCAAAACTGTAGCTACACTAAAAACAGTAATAATAGTATAATGGCAATCATTTATTGAGACCCTACTATGGGTCAGGCATTCTATTGAGAACTTAATGTGCCTTTTAAAATGGGGCTCCCCTGGAAGCTCAGATGGTGAAGAATCTGCCTGCACTTCAGGAAACCCAGGTTCGATCCCTGGACCGGGAAGATCCCTTGGAGAAGGAAATGGCTATCCACTCTAGTATTCTTGCCTAGAGGAGCCTGGCAGGCTACAGTCCTTGGGTGGCAAAGAGTTGGACACGACTAAGCATGCATGCTTTTTACAAGTCCTGAGATACCAAGTTATTATCTAGGATCCCACTGGAACCTTAGCAGGTGTCCCCAGCACAGCAAAATGGCACAAGCCACATAGAGTATAAATAGTACAGTGGTCGCTTGGTACTTAACAAGAATCCAAGCTTCTATCTATTCAAATGTCATCTTACCTTGTTATCTATCTTCCAACCCTGAGTTTGAATCTCTGGGTCCTCTCTTGCTCTGCTGTCCTAACTTATTGACTACTTAAAAAAAATTTTTTTTCATCTCCCCACCAGCCTGCATGGACTAAGGCACCAGGCTTCAATGAGCGCCTGTGTCCTGGAGGCTCCTGCCCTCATCACAGGCATCCTGTAAAGACCATCATGCTGACTTGCGTGGGTGAAACCTGGCTGTATGTTTCTCACTGCCCTTCTCTGATTGGTCCCAGGGAGTTTTTTTAATTTGAGAATAACTGTTTTACAATATTGTGTTGGTTTCTGCTGTACAACAACGTCAATCAGCTGTCTGTATACATACAGCCCCTCCCTCTTGGACCTCCTTCCCACCTCCCCCATCCCACCCCTCTAGGTCATCACAGAGCATCGAGCTGACCTCAGTCCCAGGGATTTAGAGAGAAACCTTCACTGCAGGAGAAACATGACACCACTTTCAGCAAATTAACCTTCATTTAATGAGGTGTTGTATAACCTGAATTTTTTTTTCAATTATCTAACTTTTCTTCCTGCCCCAGGTTCCCTACATAGCCAGCCAATTTCAACCACACACGTCTGCATGAGTCATCACAGCTGATGGCAAAAATAGCCACCACCGTTCTTCACTCCTCCCTGGATCTGGGCACTTTCCGGCACCACTTTACGGCTCTTTCCGTCAAAGGAATGGGGGTCTGTTTCATTGCGCTTTTTACCTGAACCAGCCTTGTGATGCTTGGGCCAATGGAACGTGGTGGGAGCAATGGGCCACGAGTCCCGAGTCCAGACCCCCAAGAGCCCTTCACGGCATTGCTCTCCCTGCAGTGTGAGCAAGCCCAGGCCAGCCTGCTGGAGGACGGGAGACCATCCTCCAGGAAAGCCGTGGAACACCAGCCAAGCTCCCGAAGCAGAGCCATCTAGTGACCTGGAGCTGCTTGCAGGCTAGATGAGGAAGCCTGCTGAAACCAGATATAAGCAGCCTGGAAGCACAGGCTCAGGAGCAGTAGGCGTCTGTGGCTACTTGACATCACAAAGTTCAGGAAGGTTTGTTACCCATCACCAGATAACCAATACAGCCAGGAAGCTGCACAGCTATTGGAGGAAATTGTCCAAATCACCATGTGCTATCTTCCTGTTTATCAATCTTCTCCACTGAACTGAAACCTTAAGAACAGAGATGGAAATATATTCGTTCTGGTATTCCCAGTGCCTAACACAGGGCAGGTTCAAGAGACATAAAATGAATAAGTAAATGAACGAATGAACACAAATGTCCCTAGATGCCACATAGATGTGTTAATATATATTTGTTTTTCTCTGACTTATTACACTCTGTATGACAGACCTTAGGTCCATCCACATTACTACAAATGACCCAGTTTTGTTCCTTTTATGGCTGAGTAGTATTCCATTGTATATATGTACCACATCTTCTTTATTCATCTATCAATGGACATTTAGGCTGCTTCCATGTCCTGGTTATCGTAAATAGTGCTGCAGTGAACACTGGGGTACATGTGTCTTTTTGCATTACGGTTTTCTCAGAGTATATGCCCAGAAGTGGCATTGCTGGGTGATATAGTAGCTCTACTTTTAGCTTTTTAAGGAACCTCCATGCTGTTCTCCATAGTGGCTGTATCAGTTTACATTCCCACCAACAGTGCAAGAGGAGTCCCATTTCTCCACACTCTTCCAGCATTTATTGTTTGTGGATTTTTTGATGACGGCCCTTCAGACTGGTATTTGCAGGGGAGGAGTCATGACCCAGATGCAGAGAATGGACTTGGGGACACAGTGTGGGGGAAGGGAAGGGTGGGACAAACTGGGAGAGTAGCATTGACATATATACACTAGAATGTGTAGAAGAGCCAGCCAGTGGGAAGGCTGAAGGAGATACATGTATACATAAAGCTGATTCAGTTTGTTGTACACCAGAAACGAATACAACATTTTAAAGCAATTATACTCCAATTAGGCGGAGGCCTCGGGGACCTGGGGCGTCACGGAGTGCGCGAGGCAGGCCAGGTTGTGTGCACTGGCGGAGACAAAGAGGTGGCGGTGGCGGCCTCGGCGGAGCAGCCCTAGACGCCGAATTTTGTAGTGTGAGTCCTGTCACCACCATCTCCTACCGCGGCACGAGGGCGGCTGGTCTCGCGGCGGCAGCGGCGGACACGGAAGTGCCGGCGGCGGCAGTGGACGCGGAAGTGGCGGCAGCACGTGGTTCCCAGAGTGCCCTGCGGTTGTTGGGTTCCAATTCCGTGGGGACGGACAAAGGCAGCTGTGAGCGCCGGGCAACGCCCAGTCGGGTGGTGCGCTCGCCACTGCCCTCAATCCGGGCCTTGAAAACTGGGACTAACTTGTCTCCGTGAGTAGGAGACCACGGGCACCGAGGCCCAGTGAGGGCCTGAGAGGCTGAGGCCGCTGTCTGAGGGCAAGGGGGCGGGGCGTGGCCCGCCTGAGTTGATTGGGTGGGTCAATTCTGTGGCGACTTAGTGGGCTACTGTGAGGTAATTTGACTCACTACCCTGAGGAGATTGGGGCGCACAGCAAGCTAGGTTTGATCTGGGCTTTGAAAACGGAAATTGGTCTTCAGCGCTTAGGAAATCTTTCAGTTGGCAGGTGGTGAAGCCGAAACTAACGCCATATGCACTCGAGCAACATCGTGGTCGCCAGTTTGGGGCTTATTTAAGGATCCTGGGATCACTGATGGCGAAGACATGTGTGGCTGTCCAGTTTTATGACTGAAGTTGCTAGACTTCCGGATTGTGGTTAAAGAACTGGAGACATCACCACACTCATGGCTTTCACGAATTACAGCAGTCTGAATCGAGCTCAGCTAACCTTTGAATGCCTACATACAAATTCAGCCACTCATGAATCCTTGTTTGGTGCTCTTGCTGAACTAGTTGATAATGCAGGAGATGCTGATGCCACGAGAATTGATATTTATACAGAAAGGCGAGAGGACCTTCGAGGAGGATTTATGCTTTGTTTTTTGGATGATGGAACAGGAATGGATCCAAGTGATGCTGCCAGCGTGATCCAGTTTGGGAAGTCGGCCAAGCGAACGCCTGAGTCCACCCAGATTGGGCAGTACGGGAATAGGTTAAAGTCGGGCTCGATGCGCATCGGGAAGGATTTTATCCTCTTCACCAAGAAGGAAGACACCATGACCTGCCTCTTCCTGTCACGCACCTTTCATGAGGAGGAGGGCATTGATGAGGTGATAGTCCCATTGCCCAATTGGAATGCTCGAAACCGGGAACCTGTCACAGACAACGTGGAGAAGTTTGCCATTGAGACAGAACTCATCTACAAATATTCTCCCTTCCGCAATGAAGAGGAGGTGATGGCTCAGTTCATGAAGATTCCTGGGGACAGTGGAACGCTGGTAATCATCTTTAACCTCAAACTCATGGATAACGGAGAGCCAGAGCTGGACATAATCTCAAATCCAAGTGATATCCAGATGGCAGAGACTTCCCCGGAGGGCACCAAGCCAGAGCGCCGCTCCTTCCGTGCCTATGCTGCCCTGCTCTACATTGATCCCCGGATGCAGATCTTCATCCATGGGCACAAGGTGCAGACCAAGAGGCTCTCCTGCTGCCTGTACAAGCCCAGGATGTACAAGTACACATCAAGCAGGTTCAAGACCCGCGCAGAGCAGGAGGTGAAGAAGGCTGAGCACGTGATGAGGATTGCTGAAAAGAAGGCCCGGAAGGCAGAAAGCAAAGCTCGGACGTTGGAAGTGCGCCTGGGCGGAGATCTCACACGGGACTCCACGGTGATGTTGCGACAGGTCCAGAACACAGCCATTACTCTGCGCAGGGAAGCCGACGTCAAGAAGCGGATCAAGAAGGCTAAGCAGCGAGCACTTAAACAACCTAAGGAACTGAACTTTGTTTTCGGGATCAACATCGAACACCGGGACCTGGATAGAATGTTCATCTACAACTTTAGCCGCCTGATCAAGATGGCTTGTAGTGGGGTTGTTGGGGTCGTCCATGTGCCCTACCTGGTCCTGGAGCCCACACACAACAAGCAGGACTTTGCGGACGCCAAGGAGTACCGGCACCTGCTGCGGGCCGTGGGGGAGCAGCTGGTACAGTACTGGAAGGACATCGCCATTGCCCAGCGGGGAATCATCAAGTTCTGGGATGAGTTTGGCTACCTCTCTGCCAACTGGAACCAGCCCCCATCCAGTGAGCTGCGCTGCAAGCGGCGGCGATCCATGGAGATCCCAACCACCATCCAGTGTAATCTGTGTCTGAAGTGTCGGACACTTCCCTTTCAGCTGAATTCTGTGGAGAGGGATTACCCTGACACTTGGGTTTGCTCCATGAACCCTGATCCTGAGCAGGACCGGTGCGAGGCCTCTGAGCAGAAGCAGAAGCTCCCCCTGGGGGCTCTGAGAAAGGACCCGAAGATGCAGGAGGAGCGGCAGAAGCAGCTGACGCAGAAAATCTGCCAGCAGCAGGAGAAGCTGGAGGCCCTGCAGAAAACCACACCCATTCGCTCCCAGGCTGACCTGAAGAAACTGCCCTTGGAAGTGACCACCAGACCTCCCTCTGAGGAACCTGCACGTAGACCTCAGTGTCCTTGGTTGCCTCCTTTACCTGCTGTGATGAAGAATGCCCCGAGCAGACCCCCTTCCCTTCAAGCTCCCAGACGAGCCAGCCGGCCCAGAAAGGCTCCTGTCATCAGTAGCACCCCAAAGCCTGCTGCCCCGGCCGCCCGGGAGGAGGCCAGCACTTCCCGGCTACTCCAGCCTCCCGAGGCACCCCGGAAGCCTGCCAACACTCTGGTCAGGCCTGCATCCCGGCCCAGCCCACCGGTGCAGCCACCGTTACCATCTCCCCAGCACAACTCCAGGAGCCCTCGGGAGGTCCCTTCCCCCCGAGTCCTGAAGACTCCAGTGGTCAAGAAGCCAGAGCTGCCCGCTAAACTCTCCCCGCAGCCCACTCCTGGTCGGAAGCGGAGCCTCGGGGTCTCTGATGAGGAAGAAACAGAGGAAGAGGCTGAGAAGAGGAAGGAGAGGTCCAAGAGGGGCAAGTTTGCTGTGAAGGAGGAAAAGAAGGACTTGAATGAGCTCTCAGACAGTTCTGAGGAAGAGGACTCGGCTGACCTCAAGATCGCTCAGAAAGATAAAGGGCTGCACGTGGAGGTGCATGTGAATAGGGAGTGGTACACAGGCCGTGTCACAGCTGTGGAGGTGGGCAAGAATGTGGTGCGGTGTAAGGTGAAATTTGACTATGTGCCCACGGACACCCCACCAAGAGACCGCTGGGTGGAGAGAGGCAGCGAGGACGTGCAGTTGATGAAGCCCCCGTCCCCAGAGTATCAGAGCCCGGACACACGTCAGGAGGGCCGGGAAGAGGTGGTGGTGGCGGCGGCCCCAGCAGGGGATTCGGTAGCCCAGCAAGCTGTAGCCACGGCAGAGCCCTCCACCTCGGACTGCATCCCCATCAAACCTGACACCACCGCCCCCAGCACCAGCCACGAGACCGTTGACCTCCTCGTCCAGATTCTTCGGAATTGTTTACAGTACTTCCTGCCTCCAAGTTTCCCCATCTCTAAGAAGGAGCTGAGTGCTATGAATTCAGATGAGCTGATATCGTTTCCTCTGAAAGAGTACTTCAAGCAATATGAAGTCGGGCTGCAGAACCTGTGCCATTCCTACCAGAGCCGCGCCGACTCGCGGGCCAAGGCCTCTGAGGCGAGCCTGCGCACCTCCGAGAGAAAGCTGCGTGAGACGGAGGAGAAGCTGCAGAAGCTGAGGACCAACATCGTGGCACTCCTGCAAAAGGACATAGACATTAACACAGGCGACGAGCTGGATGCCTACATCGAGGACCTGATCACCAAGGGGGACTAGGCCCGGAGCCAGAGATCAGCTCCCCTGCCCCTCAAGGCAGAGCTCCTGAAGGTGGCGTTTCATTTATGGGTTGCTGGACTTATCTTGGTTTGACTCATGGGATATTTGTGCTTTGGGTGGGAAAGAAACTCTGATTCTTTGAATCTTCCACCCTAAGTTTATAAATATTAATTTTTTGAAAGAACCAAAAAATAAAAAATTTAAAAAATAAAGCAATTATACTCCAATAAAAAAAAATTAATATCTCTAAATCAGGAAGGGACACACATTTTCCAGTGCCCCAGTACACACAGCCTTGATAAAGAACCTCTCTATGTGCAATTCTGTGCTACCTTCTTATCTGTGGTTTAGTCTCTTGAGGTGACATTTCTCCCAGGAGGAAGTGTTCTGTGAATGCTCATTGTTCCAGTGCTCAAGTCATATAAACGTCATAGAGGAAATTATTAATTTGGCATGCTGGTCCATTTGTCAAACTCCTGGCAGTTCAGGCATGGAGCCAGCCCTGTGACCAGTTCCACCTGGGTGAACTCAGAGAATCAAGTTTTCAGGACTAAAAATGTGCTGCTCTGACCATACAATAGCTTCTGCCATTTCATCCCCCTCCTTACCTCTCTGCTTAGACACATACAATTAAAAATCAAAACGCCTCCTCCCAGTGCTCTGATGGAGGTCTCCAGATGTAAGAGAATTTCAGAAAAAGAAAAAAGTGACACCCCAAGATGACTGAAAAAGAACTTCTGAACCTCCTTTCCATCTGCAAAATAAAGGTGTCTAACTGCATGCTCTTGGATTGGTTAATCAAGCATTTCTGAGCATCTACTGTGTGTGAAGTATTATGACAGGTGCTTTGAACAGGACTTCATAGAGCAATGATGCCGGGAGTTCAAAGGCACTAAGAGTCAGTAGTTTTGACTGTGTGACATCTTTTGTATTCACTGCCTAACAGTCGCAGTAATTAGTAGAGAGAACTTTGGAGTTTACAATGCATTTGATTCAAAAGTCAAAGTGACTCCCATGAAAACAAAGCAGTTCACATGACAAGATGCTCAACATCACTAATTATCATAGAAATGCAAATCAAAACACAAGGAGATATCACCTCACACCTGTCAGAATGCCTGACTTCAAGAAGACAAGAGATAAGTTGTTGGTGAGAATGTAGAGAAAAGGAAGTCCTCCTGCACCACATCTTTTGTACTCACTGACTCACAGCAATAATTAGTAGAGAGAACTTTAGAGTTTACAATGCATAGTAAAGTTTACAATGATAGTAAATTGGTGCAGACATTACAGTAAATGATATGGAGGTTCCTCAAAAATTTAGAAATAGAACTGCCATATGATCCAGCAATTTCCCTGCTGGGTATTTACCCAAAGAAAACAAAAACACAAATTCAAAAAGATATATGTACTCCAATGTTCATTGCAGCATTATTTACAATAGCCAAGAAGCAGAAGCAACTTGTGTCCATCAATCGACTGATGGATAAGAAGATGTAGCATATATCTTCTTTATCCAAATTTATCCTTCTTTATCCAGCTTTATCCTTCTTAAAGGCATTGAGTCTTAGTTACAACTTGTGGGCTTAGTTGCCCCATGTCATGTGGTAGCTTAGTTCCCAGACAAGGGATTGAATTGGCATCCTCTGCATTAGAAGGCAGATTCTTAACCACTGGACCACCAAGGAAGTCCCTAGTATATACATTCAAATGGAATATTACTCAACCATTTAAAAATCTTCCCATTGCTAACAACATAAATGGTTCTAGAGGGTATTATGCTAAGTGAAATAAGTCAGAGAAAACAATGCATGATCTCACTTATATATGGGACCTAAAAAATAAACCAAAAATAGACTCATAGGTACAGAGATAAATGGGTGGTTGCCAGAGGGAGGGGGTTGGGGTTGGTGAAATATATGCAGGAAATTAAGAGGTATGAACATCTAGTTATATAATAAATAAGTCCCAGGTATACAACATACAGCATAAGACATATGGTCAATAATATTGTAATAACTTTGTATGGTTTACACCATGATCTATCATGATCTATACCATCATCTACACCATGATCATGAACTACCATGATCATTTCATAATTATGTAAATGTCAAACCATTATGTCATACACCTGAAACTAACATAATACTGTATGTCAATTCTATTTCAATTAAAATTAAAGAACAAATCTGAAACAGATCAGCCCTAACAGCTCAAAACCCAGTCTCACATAGAATAGGATGATGTGGTCATTCTCATCTGCCAAAAGAAAATTCAGTCCTATCTGAAGAAGGACCACTTCACCAAGAGTCTCTACATTTTTATACACAATATCTGATATTCAATCAAAAATGTACTGGTATGCCAGAAAAGGGGGGAAAATGAACAAAAGTCAAGAGGGGGAAGAAAATGACATAAGTGAATCTCCAGATTATCCACATATTTAGGTTATCAGGCATAGGCTTGATAATCATCAAGACTAAAGTTACCTTTTCTATGGAGTTTAAGCAAGCTCCAGAAGTTGGTGATGGACAGGGAAGCCTGGCATGCTGCAGTCCATGGGGCTGCAAAGAGTCGGAAATGACTGAATGACTGAACTGAACTGATTCTAGGGAGTAAATGGAAAGGTAGAAGAGATTACCAGAAAATTGAAATCCCCTTCTAAAACCATCAAACAGCAATTCTAGAAATTTTCCAAATAGTTAAATAAAAGTAAGAATACAGTAAGTGGCTTTAATAGCAGATTATAAACAGCTGAAGTGCATATTTGTGCCTCAGAGTCACTAAAAATATTCAAATTAAACACACATTAAAAAAATGATGCTGGCAAATATAGAAAAAATCATAAGAGGCATTTGGGACATATTAAAGACATCTAATATATTGTGTAACCAAATCCAAGAAATGAGAAGAGGGAGAGAAAAGGCAAAACAAATATTTGAAGAGGTATTTTCAATTCCTAAAACTATTGGAAGATACCAAGTTGCAGAATAAAGCAATATCTAAGCATATTGTAGTAAAACTGTTAAAAATCAAAGGAAAAGAAAAAAAGTCTTAAAAGCATCCAGATAAAGAAGATGCCTTACATTCAAAGGAATAGCAATGTTTGCTAACTGACTTTTCAACAGAAATTATAGATGCAGTCAATGCAATAAAATTTTGAAAGTGCTAAAATAAAATAACAACTAACCAAAATTCTCATATGCAATTCCCTTCCTCTCCAAAAATAACAATAATAATAATAATAATAATTCTTCATAAATGAAGGCAAATGACCAAATGGCATTTATGCCAGGAATCAGCTGATTTCATCATAAGAATTATATTAACATAGTCCAAGAAATTAAAAGATCAAAGGATAAATGTAATTATCTCCAGAGATGCTGAAAGGTATCAAAATTCAATATGCATTTCCAACTTAACCATTTAAGAAAATAAGAACTGCTGAATACTTTCTTAACAACATCTTCCTTAGTGGGAAGACACTAGGGACTTAACCACCAAGATCAAGATCAAGGAAAATATGCCCACTATCTCTTCTGCTTTCAACATTATGCTGGAAGTAATAGCCAATGTAATTTGATAAGAAAAATCAACTAAAGCTATGCAAAGATATAAAGAATAAATTGCCTCTATTTTTAAGTAATATAAGCTAATTAAAAAAAAACAACTCAAGAACAAGATGGCAGGGGAGTAGATGGACATGGAGTACATCTCTCTCCATGGATACATCAGGAATACACCTTCAGAAACAGAAGTGCGTGCAGAACACCAGCTGAGAGTGGACAGGAGTACCTGACTAGAGGGAAAGAATATATAGAACCATGCAAAACTTGGTGGGATGAAGGAACAAGGGGAAAAACAGGAGTGGTAGTAGGACTGGACCTGCCGTGGGCCAGTGGGGGAAATGAAGCAGGGGTCCAATCTCCACATCGGGGCAATTGTCTGGGTCAGAGGAGAAACATTTAAGGCTGAGAGTGAAACAGCTGATCTGTGGCAGCCTAAATGGAATGAGAATCAGTCTCTGCCGCAGCCATACATACCCAGGACAGGGATGCAGGTCCCCTGGAAGGCGCAGTGGCTGGGAGCTGGAGTTTGGGGATTGTGGAGTGATCCCAGAGCAAGCGCTGCTGTTAACTGTGGAGAGATGGATCGAGGGGAGGTGAGGGAGGAGATTGTGGTGGGAAATGCCTGTGGAGGAAAGCTGGGCAGCCATGGAAGCAAGGCAATACTGCTGGATCACGCATAGAGGGTGGCGCCCTCAGCATAGCCTCTCTCCCCCAGACAAGCGAGCATCCGCAGCTGAGCAATAGAGAGGCTGGCCCATCAAATGCCTGTCACTGAACTACAGAGCAGGACCCCACCCAGGAGCCCCTTTAAGTGCCTGATGTGGGAACTACAGAGCAGGACCCCACCCGGGGGGGCCCTCTATGTACCCGACTCACTGAACAACAGAGAAGGGCCCCAGGCAAGGGAGCCCTCTATGTGCCTGAATGGGCGGAGCTATGGAAAAACTGGCCAAAGAGGCCTTCTGATCTCCAGCTACAAGAGGCTGGAAAAAAGACTCTGGTGGGGCCGTAACTCCTGTGGCGGAGGCAGCCTGAGTCCATGCACACTTGGCGCCACCAGGGTCCCCGCAAGCCAAGCAGCTGTGACACATTCGTGCTCAACACTCACTGGGGCAGAGCTGCCACAGGCAAAAAAGTCTTGCATCTATGGGCACAGGGTCACTTCAATAGTGTCTGACTATTTGCAACCCTGTGGCCTGTGGCCTGCCAGGCTTTTCTGTCAGGGAGGGAGGTTCTCCAAGCAAGGATACTGGAGCATATTGGCCAATACTGGTTGCCATAGCCTCTAGAGCACTGTATTTCCTGCTGCCCTAGCCGCCAACTCCTCTAAGTACCTGCTGCTGCCAGAACCCCTGCGACCCAAGCAGCTGCACCGCCTCCACCCCTGGCCCTCACAGGGGCAAACCCAAGTCCTCCAGGGCAGCCTCAGGAGCAAACCCCAGGGGACGACCCACATGCAGAGTGGAAATAAAGCCACAATCGAAACCCAGGGGCAGCGTGGCTAAGGAAGGAGACCCAAAACCTTCCCACCAGCTGTACAGGCTGCAGATCAAACCCACACGGTCAACTAGGCAGACTCTGTGTCTGTGCAATAGACAAAAGGTCATTGAGAGTGCTCACAAAAGGAAATGCACTGGTTC